AATTTTTTCAATTAATTTTGAATAACACCCCCCTTAGAAATTTCTAGCTACGCGCCTGACTCATGTGATACGTGGTACAAAATGACCTAATGCAAATTACACACACATACATTACATAAATGTGAGAATGAATAAATCTATTGCTGCAATACAAATTATATTATTCCATTATTATTACTATTGCTGTCCGGAGAGCATTGATTTTATAAAATACTATATTGTAAAATCAATTGTCTTATAGAATTGCTTGCACGTTACAATCGATGCCTTTGTAAAAATATAGGTAACGGAACAAACCGTAACGGAATTTATAATATGTACTTACGTCAAAACGTCTGCTGCCGCCGGTGTGTGTCTGGCTGTAAGTACACATTCTATAACACATACTATTCTATGCCATAAATACATATATATATATATATAATATATATATATTATATATTATAATATAGAGGTAAAGAGTAGGTCTTTGGAAACTTACTAGTTATACCGTCGAAATACCGATRTTATACGTCGTTACGCAATAATATGTGTACATTTTTTTCTGTCCTTTTTTTGAATAGRCTCGCGTTTATTTTTAGTCTCGTCTAAAAATTTGAATAACGCATGTGGCCGTGAACACGGGTCGCCGCCGCATTTAAATGAATAATTTACAGTGGGTATCGGATTATTCAGAAATAGAAAAATTGCACCACAATACATTCGGTCGAAGGACCAAGGTTCGGATTATGCGTATCGCAAGCAATGTATACCTATATAATATGGGTAGGTATATTGTGTATAATAATAGTGCGTTGTCCGAGTGGCAACCACCTGAATGCTAGCCGCTCCGTGTCYGTGGCGTGCAATCGCTTCGTAATTATAGTATCGTATTGTGTTATAAGTTATAAGAGAATATACTCAGAACCAGCTGTACCGCGATAGGAACCGTATGAACCGGACGATTCATCAAACAAGGGACCTATGCACGAAGTCGATAAAAAAAAAATTATACCTAGATGATTCTACTTGCCTAATAATATACTTTAATTGATCTAAATGAAACAAACTTATTAAAGCGTATATTTTTTTTAATTGTATGAGTTTGCTTTTCATATATCTCCCCAACYCTTTAAATTATATTTGTCATATAAAATATACCTACGATAAAGCAATAAAAATGTATGCCGTTGTTATGATGAAGTGGTCTTGGTATAATTAAAGATACATATTTCTCCTTTCATAAGAACTGAGCAAATACTACTGATACACTCCACATATTAATAACTATAATAAGTATGTATTATAAAGACATTATTCAATTATTATAACTTAGTGAACTATATACACTCCCATTAAGACGATTCACAGGAGCTCAACTTAAAATAATACTTCACGTCCAAATCGAGACAAAACCTCGGTTTCGCGATCTTCATTATAAAAAGGCTGACAAATGTAAAAAAATGATTGGTTTAAAATTTTAAACTATTTAACGCTATATATTATATAATATATATAATGTATTACAATAGAATATACATTATTTTATATCACTACAAGGTAAATTTCCGTCATATAGTCATATAGATATCATTTTTTAATTCGTATCAGTTATTATTAATAATTATTATTATCACTAACGGAAATTATAGACATGATTAAACACA